TTTCTTTTAAATCACATTATATGTGATCCGATAGAAATTAAATTTCAAATTAGCTAAATTACATAGGATTAAAAGTTTCTCACTTTGCACAAATAGAACAAAAAAGTAAACTGTGTTTTGATAGGACTAATTATGTGTGTGTTGGATAAATATACCTTCTTGCTATTGAAATTTTTAATTCATAAAAAATAATAAAAAATAAAAATTCTAAAAAATACAAAAATTAATAAAAAATATTTAAATAATTATAAAAAAATTAAAAAAATTAAAATAAAAAACGCAAAAAAAAAAAAAGAAAATTCACCGCCGCCTCTACTGCCCCCACACCACCACCTCCAGTAGGGGAGAGCAAACCCAACCCTACCCAATTGACCCGAGCGGATATATCCGATTTTTTTGTTGGGGTCGGAAAACCCGACCCGAAATAGCCAAACTCGATCCGATTTTTTCAACCCGAGACTTAAGCGGGTAGCGGGTAGGGTTACCAATTATGCTACCCGACCCGCCCGAAAAACCGAACTAGCGTAGTATATATACTACTTTAAATTATTATGCATGTTCAAATATATCAATTATTATATGTCAATTACCATATTATGCATGTTCAAATATTCCAATTACCGTATAAGTACAACTATAACTTTGAATGTTGTATTGTTATGACTTTGAATGATATTTTGACCAATTATCATTTTATTTATCATAATATCAATTATCCCAATCATCGTATATTATTATTTTACATGTTCAAATATGTCGATTACCGTATTTATACAACTATTACTTTGAATGATGTACTAGTATAACTTTGAATGATATTTTTACCAATTACCATTTTATTTATCACTATTTCAACAATAATAAATTAAAATCCGAATGGACCCGAAACCCGAATCAACCCGACCGCAACCCGAATTTCTTCAACCCGAAAAAAACCGATAATTTTTTTGATAGGGTAGGGTTTGAAATTATCAATCCGATATCCGAATGGGTTTATCATTTTTGAACCTGACCCGTGCTCTGCCCTAACCTCCAGTCACTAGCGGAAAAAAATGTTACATATATTACGAATGCCATATTTATGCATTCTCAAATAGTAATATGCCATTTTTTTTGGCATTTTCAGAAACAAATGGCAATTTTTAGAAAAATTAACATTTTTTACACCGGTCGGAGGTGGTGGTGCAGGGAGGCAGTACAAGCGGTGGGAAAGCCATCTAATTTAAAAAATTTAAAAAAATAAAAAAAATAAATTAAAAAAACGCTAAATAAAAAACACATCTGCCGCCCCAGCACCGCCATCTCCCTTAACGGGGGGGGGGGGGGGGGGGGGGGGGGAATTCACATGCATTAGGAATGCCATATTTATGGCAGATTCAATGAAAATTTTGGCATTCTCAAAGAGTAATGTGCCAGTTTTATGAATATTTTAGAGAAATTGGCATTTTTTTACACCGGTCGGAGGTGTTGGTGCAGGGAGGTAGTACAAGCGGTCATGAGAAAGGCATCCATAATTTTTTATGGAGTTTTACTATTTTTTATTATTTTTTTTAAATAAAAATTAGTTTTTTATTTTATAAATATTTTTTTAAAAAATGTATTTATTATGAATTAAACATTAAATTATGACTTTTGACTACCTTTTAATCATATTTAAAGGATGGGTAAGAATGGAATGAAAAATAGGTATGTTTCCAATAGGAGTGATATGGTCCTATTTTGGAATAAAAACAAAACAAGTTCTATTTTGGGTTTTTGTTATAGTTTTAGTCCTATTTAGAGTAATTTTTAATTTAACTTTAGTTAAATTTGAAATAACAAAATAAACTTGTAATTTTAATACATGTGCAAACCACGATTGATGAAATTTGACCCTTGTAATTGATTTTAGTTAAATTTTAAATAAATAAATAAACATGTAATTTTAATTGATTCGTTAAGAATTTAATTCGTACAATAATAAAATATGACGTGAAATGAAACATATACATTATGATTTACTAATAAGTACTGTTTGATCTTCTCACAACCACATAAAGTTGACTATGACTAAAAACAGGTAATCTCAATAATAAATCAACACACGATAAGCCTGTTTTTTTAATTTTATTTATAGTCACAACATAATAAGTCATGTTTGTGTATCATGACATTCATAATATATTGAATGGCAAGATAATATATGAATGTGTTAATGAATGCTTGAGAATTAACACAATTTGTCTCGCAAAGTGATTTCTGGTTTGGGACGGATCAAGATTGTTTCGAATTCTCCTTGTTAAAAGCTTCGATTCGATATATGGTACACTCAAAACGGATAACGGGTGAATGAGAAATTGATTCTCGAAGTTCACTCGTTGAAATGGAGAAAAGAAGGAAAATGACGGAGCAAAATCTTGGAACGTTACGGGAAGAAACAAACATGTTGAACGGGCTGCATGATGCTCGTTATGATGTTTATAGCAAGCTAGTCACGGCTAAGGAGCTATGGAATGCTTTGGACCACAAGTACAAGAGCGAGGATGGCGGTGCAAAGAAATTTGTTGTAGGTCGATTTCTTAACTTTAAAATGGTGAATGCGAAGACCGTCTTGAATCAAGTTGAGGAGATGCAAATGATCTTCAACGAAATTCGAGATGAAGGAATGACAATTAGTGAGTCTTTCAAAGTGGCGTCAATTATCCATTTATTGCCGTCGGCTTGGAAAGATTTCAAGAACTGCTATACCTTACGCATAAGCGAAATGAAATAAATTTGGAGCAGTTGAATCCTCCATTTAGGATTGAAGAGGATAATTGGAACAACGATGAGAAACACCCAATCGTTGATGGCGTCAAGGCAACTGTGATGGAGCATGTTAAAGGCTCCAAAATCAAGACTCATTATAGGTGTAAACAAATGGGCATCCCATCTACTTTACTGTGTGAACCTCCAAAACTAACCAATTAAAAGAGACTCAACACTTGGAGGACTCTTAGATTTTAAATTGCAACGGTGTGACCCATTACTCAAAACCCATGTTGCGGCATGTGAGATAAAGAAATTGATGAATCATTCATGGTGACATTTCTGAGCGACAATCCAATCCCCAAAATCATTTTACTTTTAGATTATAATAGATTTGCTCAAGGAATAGGCACACTCCTTTTGGGCTTGGAGGATGTCTCTGTAAGCGGACTTTGTTAGAGCTTTTTTTAATGGACTCATCAATTTTAAACAAGAGCAAACTTAAATAGATCAATCAAACCAATCAAATTAAATAAGATCAGAATAAACTAAATTTTGACAATTATAAACTATACATTAAACAGAAAACTATCAGAAAGAGTAGACTAGTTCAGATTGAATTAGACCAAACTTAAATAAATCAGATGAGATCAAATCTAAAAATTATAGTCCAATTAAAAACATCATAAGATCCCATTAAAAATTATAATGTTTGATTGTTAACTAGTTCTATAATAGTATTAATGATCTTATAATGTAATACTTCCACTGTCCCTTAAAATTTTGCCATCTTTCTTTTCTGGGACGTCCCAAAAAACTTTGTCACTTTCCTTTTAATCAATTATTTTGTGGTTTCTTTTATTTCTCTCTCCTCTGCACAAACCTCAACCACACAGTTTTTACTTTATTATTCTACGTGCCGGTCAACTTTGGCAAAGTTTTAAGGGACGGAAGTAGTAAGAAATTAAGAATTCAATTTAGAAAAGACATGCTTGCATGTTTTTTTAATTTGTAAATGTAGAAGACATGCTAAGGTACAGAAAATATACAAGAATGTTGTATGAAATAATCTATACTATTATAATTTATTTTTCCCCTAGCTGATGAATGTTTGGCAGATATACATATTCAAATAGAAAATAACGTGTTTGATGAGGCTTAAAATGAAAGAAGTGACATAAAATCCATGAACTTGTAATTTTTTATTTCATTTAATCCTTTGATTTATAAAAAGAGATTTTTCTTGAATATTACTGAAATATAATCATTGACAAAAAAGTACTCCCTTTATTCCGTCAGAAGGTGTCCGCGCATATAAAGTGAATGTAATTAGAGAGAGATAAATTAATTAGGGGGACTGTAAGATTTTACATGTGATGAATAGGAAAAAGAAACTTGATTAAAGGTGTAATTAGGGAAAGTAGATTATTTTCTAAAATTGAATGAAAACCTTTCAATGATACACCCAAATAAGGAAAGTCAGAACTTTTCAACGGGACGAAGGGAGCACTATAGTTTCTTTGCATAGTAACTATAAAGCAGAATTGAATACTATATTGTCACGACAGTTACTACGGTAGTCAATCATATTTTTATCCTTTACTGGTTTGTCATTATTTTATATAAAAAACCATTTGAGTTATATTTATTGATAAATTTAGGAAACAATTTGAGAACGGCTATAAGTGTCATCTTCATGAGGTTAGCAACTTCATAATAATTTCAAATTTGTTTCATATTTTACTACAGTATTATATATTGTCAACTGTTTATGCATGTGCAATTAAAAATGTAATGTTTTGACAATTTCTCATTATCTCATTCATAAGAACAATAAATAGGAAGTTTTGACTACTAGATAGGTCAAGTTGTTAACATGTCTAATGTAATTATTGCAAAATAACAAATTTGACATATAAATGTAGAGATTCGAAGGTAATTTAATGTGAAAAATATATTTGGAGGGAATTTTGATTAGAATTAGATAGAAATTTGCAAATACGTGCCAAATCTCGTGTCATTAACGACTCACGAGCTATTTGATCCCATGATGAAATTCTGAATCAATCCACCACAAATTCTGTGTCAAATCCGTATTCTTTTTTGTACTAAGAATCATGGTTAAAAAACAAAGAAAATTGAATCAGCAATGCCTTGTAACAGAATTTGGACATATGAGCAGTTTATGGTAAATACTCTCTTTATCTAATAGTCTAATACTCCTTATTTCAATTGACCTCTCTATCAATATTATATAAAAATGAATTACTTGAATTAATTCTTCGGGAATAGATTAAACTTGTTGAAATTTATCATTTATTACTACAACAAAGAAATTATTATTAGAATGATGCTCATTCAACTTTAAATTACATTATATATTTAAAACTCTGGCAAACCATATGCCTAGATGAATAGATATATAGAGATTATGATAGTGTGTTTTGGGCATGTCATCTCTTTCCATTGTGTTTCCATACTAACAACAATAAAGCATGCCAAACAAGGTAAAATAATGGTCTTACAATGACACTCCATATAATAATTAACTAAGTTTCACAACCCAACCCAAAAATGAAAATGGGCTGGGTTGGGTTAAGTTCATGTACGCCTAATTAACGACGACGTAAAACATAAGCCCAATTGCCAAAAGACTGAAAAGACCACTTAAATTGATCGGAGCAGATCGTGATGTCGGCCCATGGGCTGCCTCCACTGAACCCCTTTTGACCCATTTTTCCTCACCATCCAACACGTTGAAAGGAAATCGAGATCCCAATCTGTTCTCATATGGGCTTTGAGATGATTTTGGGCTATCTCCGCTGCCGAAGGGGCTCTCTGCGTATGTGGGCCAATACTCTCCGTCCATTGAGTATGGGCTCGTTGCTAAAGCAGGCGTGGGCGCATTCTCTCCGCCCATTGAAGGTGAATGGGCCAGCTTGCTGTCCCTAGGCTGGACGTTAACCGGCAGCTTTAGCCCATTTCTGCAGTTTTCGATGTTCCCGCTTGTGAAGTATCTGATTCCTTCTTCATCGAGAGAGATCTTATTCAGACCGTCCGTATACATTCTGATCGGATTTGTGAGATCGCACGACTCATATTCTTCCAAGCTTCCCACCTCCACTATGTTGTCTTGCGCTGCTGAGTATGTGAACCCTGCCAAGTCAAAATTATTAATAAAGAACGGAGGGAGTCGAGGAAAACATAAAAGCCCTACTCGGGAATGTTGCAACTCCAAATCTATTTTACTCCTATTTTGAAAACTTTTCCTAAAAGACATTCTGTACTCACTCCGTCTCATTCAATTTTCCCAATTTTCTGTATTTGTTTGTCCCAAAAATTTGTGGTTCTTCTTATTTTTCTCTCCTCTGCACAAATCTCGATTGCAGAGTTTTTAATATCCCTATTCCACAGTCAAATCAAAGTGTTCAATGTCGAGTGAGACAGAGGGATTATTATTTATAACTACAAATATAGAAATCTAAAAAATAATATAATGTGACCTATTGAATATAATGACTATAACAATATATATAACAATATATATAACCAGAGTAACTTATGTTGAATTTTTATATTAAATGATCATGATACCACACTTATAATACCTTTAGTTATATTTTATGAATAAGTCTTATTTCATTAATATTTTTTTAATTATCTTATTTTAACCTTCCTAAAGTGGTTAATTGTATTAGACTTTATATCTCATAGTTCACCTTAGCATTTGATTTGCAATCCAATCTCGCATTTTGTGAAGTGTAGAAGTAAAAAAAGAATCATTAGATGTACATTCGAATCCTATACAAACATGAGGTATAAATACCCAATTTTCTTTTTATCTTTGACATCAAATGCCTAATTTTCTTAGAAAACAATTTTCATAATATTAAGAGAAACTTGCAATTTACTCACTTCTTTCACATTGATGCCTTTTCCATCATAATTTACTACTCCGATCCTTTACGGCGACTAAACCTTTTCTGAGCAAATGTGTTGCTAAAAGGTGTAGTTTTCATAAAAAACTCTTAATATATATAAATAAACTAATTAATCACATGGAATAACTCTGTTAGTGAGTAAAATTACAGAATAGTGGACATATTAAAAAATTATGGGACATAAATAATAAACTCCTGATGGCTGATCACTTGCTAGTTAATATATGCAAAAATGTGAAATTTGATGGTTTTTGGACTCACACATATTAGTAATTAAAAACTACCTCATAAATGGAATATATATAAGAGCCATATTAAACCGGGAAGGGAAATTTGCAATTTTCATCTCGTAACTTTCGGTCATTTTCATTATTAGTCTCATAACTTTAGTCACTTGCAAATTTGGTCATTTAACTAATTTAATGGCGATTTAAGGACATTTCCCCTGAAAAGTGAACTTTACTTTCCGGTGATAGTATACCAGAAAAGATGTTGCTGGCGTTGATTTTTTCTGCCGGAGAGTTTACTTTCCGGTGGAAAAGTTCTTAAATTGCAAACAATTATTAATTACAGGACCAAATTTGCAAGTGACTAAAGTTACAGGACAAATAACGATAACGGTCAAAAGTTACAGAACTAAAATTGAAAATCTTCCAACCGGGAATAACACTTTCCAACCTCACTATCTGAAATGTAATTCCAATGAAAGAAAAGTGAGAATAGTTCAACAATGTTAGCTGGAGTTTAAACAAATACACATAGAGAGACCTCCTCAAGCCACTCCCTATCTCCATCACTGGTATACTAAAATAATGTATACTAGTGATCATATCACCATAAAAGTATCATTTTTGTTTTTTCACATGCATTGATTGCTAAACGCCTATAATATATGTATGATATATACTTAAGAGTCTAAGACACTTCAATAAGATAATTTATTCTATGATCTCTAAAACTAATAATATTAACTAATAAGTACTACACTTAATTATTAGTAGAAGACGACTTATTATAATACTAAAACTGAAATTTTCAAAACAAATTAATGAAGTTGGTTCTTGAACGGCTAACAAATTAGGGAAATCAGTCTGCAAGTTTGAGAATTTCCAAGTGTGTGGGGTTTGTTGATTAATTAAGAGTGTGCTTACAAATAACATCACCAACTCTGAAGATTCTGGGAGAAGAAGACAAGTAATTATAGTGAACAAAGTTTGAGGTCTCCCATCCTCTATCACCTCCCACCACATAGTGCTCTTGAGCTTCAACTCCTATAGCCACCAGTACCAAAACAAACATATAAGCCACTTCCATAACTCCAATCCTATTATAATTATTACATCCCATTTCCATTCTTCCTTTCCTTGCTAACATAAATTTGTGTTTTATCTCCAAACCCTTCAGATCATATATATTAAACAATCAATTACCTAATGGCTAGCAACTCTTATTATTATATTTTCACCAGGGTACTATACATTTTCAATTCAATGATTTGGTCATCTACCAAATCCAACCTTAACCACCCTGCGTGCCTTAGTTACGTACTTTTATATATATATTCAATCTATGTGTTGGTGAGTTACAATTAGCTAGTTAGGTGATGTAAAAGTTAAAAACACATCGGAATTTTCACAAAAGATCCAATAAAATATACTCCCTCCGTCCCGGTCATTTCTTCCGGTTTTGACCGTTATCGCAAATTTAGGTAGTGAGAATAAAATGAAAATGTATGGTTGTAGTTGTGTAAGAAAAAGGTGAATGAATGTGAACAACATATTTTTTCCAAAAGTGAAAGTTGGAATAATTAATTGGGACGGGCTAAAAAGGAAAGTTGGAAGAAATGACCGGGACGTAGGGAGTACAAAATACTCGGTAATAATTTCGGGAAATAATGGTTTATCCTATAGGGAACCCTGGACATGTATTTATAATAAAACAAAGTTTTAGAGTTTACACATAAGTCCCCCTGCACAGGCTTAATCGTGTGAAGATGAAAACAGCGCAACAAATCGTATATATATTTAGCCTGAGAAAGAAATAACCCCTGATATGTTAGACGCGCTTGAAGACCCAAGAAATAATGTATATTTCTAAATCCTTCATAGCAAATTGTAGGGATAACGTACCAATAATGGACCTAACAAACAGTGGCGGAGCCAGAAAGCGATGGTTAAGGGGGGCAAGCTTTGAGAATTTTACATTGTAGGGATCAAAGTTTAAAATATCAACATATTTTCTCTATATTCAAAATATTTATACATGATATATACTTAAGAATTTTGTTTTGCAGGGGCCAATCGTGCAAGGCCCCTCGAGGCCCTCCCTGTCTCCACCCCTGCTAACTCACGATGGCCCTAGACGACTTGACTGCCTCCACGACTTCGGCATTCTGACCCACCTCTACGCTGCGCCGCCGCCGCCAGGTGACCATCAGTCACCAGATGCCCGGACGACCCAGTTCGGCCGACAAGAGCAATAGTCCGAGACACAAAGGTTTCGATGTTTACACTTTACATAATTCTTTTTTTGGATAAATTATAAAAAATTCTTTGAATGTTATTACATAGTATTAAATTTATGAATATTTTTTCAATATTTTAATATTTAAGATGAAAAGATATTTCGATAGTGTACGTAGAATTAAGGAAATTCGAAGTACTGAGAGTAGTTTGGATGTTAATTCAAATGATTCGTCAATATTAAATGAAGGATTGGATCAAATAATTGTTGAATGTGAAAATAATTTGACTCATAACCTACATGACTAAGATGTTTGAATCTTTGGAAGCTAATCTTAGATTGAGAAAAAATTTTGCTGATTTTCATTTTAATGTTCAAGACAAGGTGCGTCATAGTTACCCTAATGTTTTGTGCATTATGATTATCTAAATATATTAATATATTTTGATGATGTACGTTAACTATGTAATCTTATGTCTCCTCAATATTTTATGTCTCCTCACTATCACAATGGATAGAAATAAGTGCAATCGGCTTCCCCCACAACGGAATCTCAAAAACTAAATTTCTTAAACACTCCGTCTCTTTACCGGCGGTAGCCAACGCAACAAACTCAGATTCCATCGTTGAACTTGTGATATAAGTTTGCTTTTGGGATGCCCAAGAAATGGCACCTCCCCCAAGCAAGAATACCCAGCCACTTGTAGAAGAATGATACTCTACATTGGATAACCAACTTGCATCCGAATATCCCTCTAAAACCAAAGGATACTCAAAGTAACACAAACCATAATCCATGGTTCCCTTTAAATACTTGAACAGAGCTGGTCTACTGAAAGTTATACCTCGAGTTCTACCTCGAGTTCCACTAACGTAGACATTTTGGAATTTAACTAGTTCTTATATACAAGTGTGCACTCCACACCTACCAACTTGTATTAGATCATAGTTCTAATTTCCAGTGGCACTCATGTCATTTCAAATTACACAAAACGGCCGGTGACACTAAAATCACCAATAATCCTCCTCCATTTTAGTGTAACCCATGAAATGACATAACAAAGTTTATAAATCAAAATTGTACATAAATGGAAATGTCAATACGATTGAATTTCCATCTTAGTATTTTACACATTCAAAATATTCGAGAATCGGGGTGTCCTAAAGACTGAACCCTTCAACCCATTTGAATACCTCAAGATAAAATACATACAAGTTTCCATACTCAACTAGAATACAAACTTGACACAATTATAAAGCCGTATGTCCTAATCCCATTCATGATCGTATAAAAGTCAAGTCCCAAGTTTTTTGAAGTGCGGCTACACTTCACGATCATATAGGTAATTCCTTTACTCGTGTACCTGCTTACACTTTAACAAAGGAATTATTAAGAAATAAATTCAACCTCCCTACTACAGGTCCGAACACACACCTTGGGATGATTTTCATTGTGTGTTCCAATCCATTAAGTGTGAGCTTTCCGCATTGAATTCAACTTCTAACGTTGTATTAGAGGGGAGTTGGGTGTCTCACCATTAAGGATTAAATGGACTTTAAACTCATCCCTATAATAGACTTATGCACTAAGTCCCGGGCCAAACTTTTGGTCAAGTGGTCCGCCAAGTTATGTTGCGATCTTACAAATTTTACCGAAATTACACCATTCATGATTAGTTCTCTAATCATACTATGTCTAACAACCTTTTGGTTTCATCAACCTAATTTTGGTCAGTTCCAAAAATCAGCATGTCATCAACATAGAGACATATGATCACACTCGACCCTAAGGCATCAAATCGGCTATAGACACACTTGTCCGATTGGTTTAAACTAAAACCATTGGACAAAATAACTTCATCAAACTTTTGATGCCATTTTTTGGGTGCTTGTTTCAGCCCATACAATGATTTGACAAGTTTACAAACCTTATGCTCATTTCCCGGCATAACAAAACCTTCCGGTTGTTTCATGTAAACTTTGTCATCAAGATCACCATTTAAAAATGCCGTCTTGACATCCATCTGATGTATAATCAGATTGTGTATAGCCGCCAAAGCAATTAACAACCTAATGGTTGTAATTCGAGCAACCGGCGCATACGTATCAAAATAGTCAATTCCGGGTTTTTGTCTAAAACCTTGAATGACCAACCGAGTCTTGAACCTGTCAACAGTTCCATCCACTTTCATCTTCTTTTTGAAGATCCATTTGCAACCTAAGGGTTTAGAACCTGGTGGCAAATCCGACAACACCCAAGTGTTGTTCTCCATAATTGATGACATTTCATCATCAATTGCCTCCTTCCAAAAGGCAACATCTCGGGATTCCATTGCCTCTTTAAAGGTCTTTGGATCATCCTCAACTTAGTAACAATATGAATATTGTACCCCCGTTTCATCCCTTGAACCTTCCACTAAATACAAGTCAAAATCGTGTCCAAAGTCTTTCACGATGCGGCCTCGTTTGCTCTTCCTTATTTGTGGTGCTTCGAGATTCAAAGCACCATCCAATCCGAAAATTTACAATCAATTCCCCTTTCCCCCAAAGTTTTCCTTTTGGACTCGGCCAATTTACAACCGCCCTACAACCCCAAACCCGAAAATATTTCAAATTCGGTGCTTTCTTGTACTAAAGCTCATATGGGGTTGTCTTGTTCCTTTTATTTGGAACCCTATTTAGAACATAGCAGGCCGTGAGCATGACCTCTCCCCAAAACCCTTCACTCAAACTCGAGTAGGAAAGCATGGAATTAACCATTTTCTTTAACACTCGATTTTTCCGTTCGGCCACACCATTTTGTTGTGGTGTATACGGAGCCGTGGTCTCATGAATGATTCCAACAGATTGAAAATAATGGGGATCCATATATTTCCCTCCCCGATCAGTCCTAAGACATTTAATTGGATTACCCAATTGCAATTCAACCTTGGTTTTATACACTTTAAATTTCTCTGAAGCTTCGTCCTTACTGTGCAACAAATACACATAACAAAACCGAGTTGAATCATCAATAAAAGTAGCAACATACTTTTTATTGCCAAGGGAAGGAGTTGAATGAAAACACATAGATCACTATGTACAAGATCCAAAATAGCCGAATTCCTTTCAACATTAGGAAACGGTTGTTTTGTGATCTTAGTAAGCACGCAAGTCCTACACTTATCATCATTAATATCAAAAGCTGGAATTAAACCATCTTTAGACATTTCATGCATTTTTCTAAAATTAACGTGAACTAATCTAGCATGCCAAATCATACAATCATTCATGGAAGATGCCACAAAAACATAATTATCACTAGAAATTAATTTATTCACAACATTCAAACGAATACATGTGATTTGATAAATATCCAAAACCAACAAACACACCACCCTTGGACAGAATATATTTATCGGATTCAATCACTTGTTTGAACCCTAAATTATTCAACATACTTCCCGAAACAAGATTCTTTCGAACCTTCGGTACATACAGAACATCAAACAACGTAATTGTTTTTCCAGAAGTAAATTCTAAAACAACTACACCCTATCCCAAGATAGGCACCATTGACTCGTCTCCCATGCGTAAGAAGGAACCGACCTCCACTGGTTCTAGGTCTTTACACCATCCTTTATCCTTACACACATGGCTCGTAGCCCCCGAGTCAATCCACCATGCACAGTCATCATCCTGTACATAAAAAGATTCTAGAATGAGTGATACATAATTCTGGATAGAATTATCAAAGCTAGTCAGGAACTGACCTCCTTTCCATGGAACCAGGTCCTTAGACCATTCCTGTCCACTGCCACTCGTTCCAGCGCCATTCTTGTTCAGTTTCACACGGCAATCACGCTTGACATGTCCAACCTTTTGACACCTCCAACAAAACAAACCTTTCGGTTTCTTGTTGGGTTTGTCATGGTCTTCATACTTGCGCTTTTTGCCTTTCCCCTTATCTTTCGGGTTAGATTTATTATCCTCAACCAAGTGAACATGAACCAGTCTAGATTC